CTCTCTCTCTCTCTCTCTCTCTCTCTCTCTCTCTCTCTCTCTCTCTCTCTCTCTCTCTCTCTCTCCCTCTCTCCCTCCCTCCCTCCCTCCCTCCCTCCCTCCCTCCTGATGACACTGGTTTCCCTGCTCTTAACCACCTTCTTTCTTCTCAGATCTTGCAGAAAGTGCTCCAGGGCTGCCGAGAGGGCATGCTGGGGACCATGGCCCTGGCTGCATGTCAGTTCATGGAGGAACCAGGAATGGAGGTGCAAGTGAGGGAATCAAAACACCCATATAACAACAACACCAGCTTTGAGGTAGGCGGAACATCAGAGACCTTACCTTCCCTCTTCTTACCAGTCCTAACTAACAACACATTTCCTCATCTCCTGTCTGTTGCCATGAGGCCTGGGCAGCAGGTTTCCCCTTCGCCAGATTTAGCTGTGTTAACAGGGAAAAGTGGTCTCCTGGCTCCAGATGAGAATATACTTTCCCATTGTAAGCGCCTCTGCGTGAATCCTCAGCTTCTTCCAGCAGTGAGTTTGTGTGGGGATCCAGAACCAACCTCTCTGTCTCCTGATGATCAGGCCATACCTTGGAGGCACTAGCCCCTTTTTAATTACTCAGCCCTCACAGTCTCATCTTTTCCATCCTGAATTTGTGTCTAAATAGAGAGCCATAGGAGTTTGGTGTGGGCCACCTCAGCTACTCTCATGACTCAACACTGTCTTGCACCTTTCTTTAGCCCTTTGGAGATGCTGGAGCTGGCAAGGCCTGAGCTTCTAGATGGGAGTAGTCTACAGCAGTTGGGACAGGAGCACAGAGGCTGGTTCAGAAGCTGTTGATCAGCTGAGACATTCTTATTTCACAGAGGTGTACCTCCTCACCCTCTGCCTTACAAGCTTCTTCTCTCCTTGCCTCATTCTCTCAGCTAACAAGTTGTACTCTTTTCTGCCTTCCTGATGGTCCCAGACTGGCCTCTCCTCTGGGGCTACTCCTGGTGTTTCCTCCCAATCTCACCCTTCCACCCTGCCTGGCTCCCTAGCAGCTGTGACTCCTCTTCAAGCTGTGATCAGAGCACATGCTCTCCAGAAGTCTGGACACCTCTTCTTATCCACATGATCATGGCCTTCCCAGAAACCCGAAGCCATGCTCCTGCCACTCTCGGAGCACGCAGACCTCTCCCGTGCTACCCTATCTGAAAGGCACGCTGATGCTCTGTGTCCCCTCCCCTGGGGAGCTCTCTGGAAGCACCCTCCTCTGCACCTTTCCTGGCTGCCCACTATGCCCCTTGCACAGAGCTGGAGGGGGGGATTATGGTTTGCTCATGCTCCATGTCCCTGGTTACAGTGACAACCACAGTGGTAGCTAGTGACTGTGATAGAAGTATTCTCTGTCTCCCTCCCTAGGATAAAGTTCACATTCCTGGTGCAATCTACCTCTCAATCAAATTTGATCCTCAGTGCAACACAGAGGAAGGCTGTGACGAATTAGCCATGTCCAGCAGTAGTGACTTTCAGCAGGACCGACACAACTTCAGTGGCTCCCAGCAGAAGTGGAAAGATTTTGAGCTTCCAGGTACACAGACTTTTCCTTTAAATTTTTGCTTGCTCTCTCTCCCTCTCTCCCTCTCCCTCCCTCCCTCCCTCCCTCCCTCCCTCCCTCCCTCCATCCATCTAAGGGGCTGAGTATGTGTCACAGTGCTCCTGTGGAGATCAGAAGGAAACAACTTGGAGTCAGTTCTCTCCACATGGATCATAGGGATTGAACTCACATTATCAGGTTTGTCAGCAAGTACTTTTGCCCACTGAGCCATCTCACCAGCATGTATAGACTTCATAGGAAGGATTTAAATATAATGTTTAGGTCATGAGATGGCTCAGTGGTAGGAGCATTTACTGCCAAGTTGTCATCCCAAGTTCAAGCCCCAAGCCCCACGTGATGGAAAGGGAACCAACAACACATATATACCTTGGCATGTACATGCCTACCATACACACTACCATTCACCCCAAAACAATTACCCAAAATAAAAGTAAAACAAACTTTTTAAAAAGCATAAAATTGAGAAATTATTAGAGGATTTTAACACCAGCTTAATGTATTTCATCAGAAACACCCCAGCTGCCATCCTGTTGCTCCCGTGTCCTGACCTGTCTCTGGTTTTTGTGATCCAGGAGATACTCTGTATTACCGATTTACCTCCGACATGAGCAACACCGAGTGGGGCTACCGATTCACTGTGACAGCTGGACACCTGGGTCGTTTCCAGACAGGTGTGTGCTCTGCCCTTTCTCTTTGTATGCTCTGTCACCCAGACACACTCTGCCCAGAGGTGCCATTATGTTACTGACTTCTGTTAAAATCAAGGCAGCTATTGTCTCTCTCTAAGGCCTTTCAAAAGTGTCTCTCAACCCACGTGCCTGGTTTTCTTCACCAGGACTTGGTTGACTACTTACAAACTTGAATGATCAGATAAGACCCTTCGGTCAGGATCTAAAAGAAGACACAGATTTTGTTTGTTTGGTTGGTTTTGTTTGTTTTGCCAGGGTGTTGTTTTATCTTCGGCACAGTGACTGTGCCCTCCCTAATCTACTGCTATTTCAGTCAGCAATTGCTACTCCGCAGTTACTGGCCTGCTTCTCTGGCAGCAGCCCAGCGCTCAGCCTGCAGCCTGGTGAGAATTCTGCTCCTTCAGGCACTGGCTCTGTTGATGCTGCCACTAAAGGTAGCTCTAACTAAATCTCTATCATTCTACTTATAAATAAAACTTGAGACTCAAAGGCTGGTGAAAACCTGCTAGCTCAGAGAGTAGCACTTAGCTAACTTTCTCTCCTTACTGACTCCCGAAAGGCCCGTCCTTCCACTTCCCAAAAACAAAACAGAAAAAGCCACACCATCAGAACCCCTCCCTACTACTTCCGGTACATCTCTATCTCTTCCAGATGCCCTCTGATGTGCTTTGATTGCTTTCTTCAACTAACTCAGTCTCCTGACCCAAGATTAATTTTATTTAATTAACATGAATGCAAACTTGGGGTTCATAGTGTGATTGAATATTCCCCAACACCAGGGCCTTTTGCAAAAATGAGGAACTGAGAATGTTGTTTTTGTGTTATTTTACAAAAGAAATTTGGTTTCCAGGATGGCCAGAGCTACACAGAGAAACCCTATATGAAAAAAAAAAAAGAAAGAAATTTGATTTCAGCCAAAATATAAATTATTTCACCCTATCAAAATGTGTACAGTTTACAAAATGTGAAACTTAATGTTAATAATTGTTTTTAAAATGTCTGTGTTTCGGCATGGCTCCAGGATTTGAGATCTTGAAGCAGATGTTGTCCGAAGAAAGGGTTGTACCTCACCTCCCATTGGCCAAGATCTGGGAATGGCTGGTGGGTGTGGCCTGCCGCCAGACTGGTCATCAGCGACTGAAAGCCATCCACCTACTGCTGAGGATTGTGCAGTGCTGCACCCACAGGTAGGCAGTGCCAGGGTTAGTTAGTTCCTGAATTCCTCCCACTGTTTCCTAGTTACTTTGTTAATGGTATCTTTGAGGAAAAAAGACAAATGTAATTTTAGTGTTTCTGAGTTCATCCATCATTTCTTTTAAGTTACTGAAAAACTACTAACTTAACGTGTCCTGTAAGTATTTTTTGCCTCATTCAAATATCATAAAAGCATCTACTGTTTCTTTCTAGAATATTAATCACTTTCCCTTTCACAAGACATCTGCCATCCACCTGGGGTGAATGCCAGTATTTGAGTTTGAGTTTCTGGCGTCAAGTTTTTGCTTTGGCTCTCTGCTTATTTTGAGTTTGCCCTGAGCACTCTGTACTGTTACCTTTGGTCCCATGTATTTATAACTTTGGGCATTTCCTTGTCTGTAAGCTAGTGCTGTATTAATGACTGTAGCTCTATGACTGATTTACATATCTACTAATTTAATTGTGGAAGTCTTTTAGCTTAGTTCTTTACGTCAAGATTGTCCTGCATTTTGGTTGTGTTTAAAACCAATATGTAGCCCATACTGGCCTAGAGCTCTGAGTTCCCCACATAGCTTCCTGAGCACTGGCGTTACAGGTATACCCCATATATACCTGACCTGTGTTGGGGGTGTGTTTTTCTGCTTTTGGTTTATTTGTTTGTTTGTTTGCTTGCTTGCTTGTAGATAGGGTCCCACTATGTAGCTCTAGCTAGCCTGGAACTTACTATATAGATTAGATTGGCCTTAAACTCAGAGATCTGCCTGCATGTTCCAGGCTGTGTTAGGTATTTATAACCCCAGTGTGACCGGCCAGTTTTTCCCTAGTGATTTACAAATCTTTTTACCCAGAACTTACCTATCATTTTTATATTACCATGTTAATTTCTTCATGTACAGAAGATCAAGGTCATCCTCAACTATAGTGATTTCTAGGGAAGCCTAGGATACATGAGACCCTGTCTCAAAAAAAAAAAAAGATAAAAAAAATGGGGAGATGGTTTAATCTGTAGTGTCTGCAGAGAAATGAGAACCTGAGTTCAGCTCTTCAGTACTTGAGGAAGGAGGGCAACAACAGGTAGGTCCTTGTAATTCATTGGCCAGTCAGCTGAGATGATTCAGTGAGGTCTGAACTCATCCCCCACCCCCCAAAAAACAGGTGCATGGGGCCAGAGAGATGTGTCAGCACTTGAATTAAGAGCTCTTGTTGCTCTTGCGCAGGTCTTTAGTTCCCGGCACCCACATGGTGGTTTTCTATCCATAACTCCAGTTCCAGGGAATCCAGTGTCTTCTCTTGAACTTCAAAGACACCAAGCCTGCAGGCTGGTGCACATACATACATTCAAGCAAAACAATCACACTTAAAATAACATGAATATATCTAATGAGAAATTGGTAAATGTAAGGTACAAAGCTACTGAGAAAGATCCCTGATGTCGACCTCTGGCCTCCACATGCACACTGACAGCATCTACACACACACACACACACACACACACACACACACACACGAATACATACATAGATCATACACAAGTACATACAACCAAAGACTAAAAAAAAATTTTTTTAGCCTAGTGTGATAGCACATACCTTTAATCCCTTCAGGGAGGCAGGGCAATTGGATCTCTGTGAGTTGGAGACCATCCTGATCTACATAATGAATTCCAGGCTACATAATGAGACCCTGTCTCAAATTGAAAAAGAAAAACATTTTTTCCTGTGTCCCCACCACCCTTTTATGCACATATGTGCTCTCTTGTTCACGCTTCTCAACCTCTCTCTTGGCCTGTGATACTTTTCTTGTGGTACTGGGACGTAGCCCATGACTTTCCTATTCATTTTTATATTACCTTTCCACGTGAGAGGAAGAGCCTTCCACACTGCCACTGAGCCACACCCCCAGCCTCGTAATGGGATTCCAGGAGGCTCTGCATATCAGTTTGAGGGAAATCAAATTCCTTAGAAAGTTGAATCCTCTAATCCACAGCCATTTTATCTTCTTCTGTAGAGACTGTTTCCCAACTGCTCAGACCCAAATAATCACATAGAAACTATATTAATTTGAACACTGTTTGGGCAATGGCTCAGGCATATTCCTGGCTAACTCTGGCTAACTCTTATATCTTAAATTAATCCATTTCTATTAATCTGTGTATCACCATGATGCTGTGGCCTACCAGTAATGTTCTGGCATTCTGGCATCTTTCTCCTTGGGTGGCTACATGGTGTCTCCCTGACTCTGCCTACTCTCTTTCTTATCTCTTCCAGCCTGACCATATTCTGCTAAGCCATTGGCCCAATCAGCTTCTTTATTAGCCAGTGGTAATAAAGCATATTCACAGCATACAGAGGGGATCCCACATCATTCCTCCATTGTGTAGGTCCTTGAAATAATTTACACATTTCTGTAGACAATTCATACAGCATTTTGTATGGTATTCTAGGTATTTAATGTTTTTTATTCTTTTATAATTATTATTTTAAAAATTTGCTGAGTATGGTGGTATATGCCCATAATCCCAGCACCCAGAAGGCTTGGACATTTCAAGGCCAGTCTTACATTGGTAAGACCATCCCAGACAAAAGAAAGTGACTTTTGTTTTGCTGCTGTAGCATTTTGGCCTGTTGCCCTTATATCCCGCATCTATTCTGAGTGAGTGTGTGGATTATCAAGAGCTCAGTCATGGCATCTGTGATTGTGAGTTTTAGTTCTTCCTCTCAATGTGCAGGAGCAGGGTTTGACCTCCTTTTACTGTGGTAGAACTTCCACTACAGTATTGAATAGATAGGAATGTGGCTGTAGCTTCATAGTACTCATCTCAGAGGAAAGTATTGGTGATTTCTTCTATATACACAGCAGCCAAGTATTCTGCCTACACCCCCTTGCTCAGACCCTGACCAGTAGGAGTTGCTCTTTCTCGCATTTTTAAGGCGTAGATACACAGAGTGTGAGCCAGTGTGGGATAATGATACTTGAAGTAAAAAGTAATATGAAGTTGTTATTTTTAAAAGCTTAAAGGAATTTTCAAGTCAGGAAGAGAATGTGATGGCTCATTGTCAGCCCTAGGCTGGCAGCAGGGGAGGGGTAAGAGAAGGCTGGGTGTGCTTGCTGCTAGTACCACGTCCTCATATGCAGACATTATGTGTTGCTTAGCTCCACGCGGGCTTCCAGTATTGACCTGGATGGTATGCTGTCTGAGCAATATGTCACATTGCCAAGGTCTTCAGGCTGGCAGGCCTTCCTGCCTGTGGGTTAGATGTCTTTCCACAATTTGCTGGCTGACATTGATCTTCTTTCCAGTTGGGACTCCCTATATTCCTGAGCCTGGGGAGAACTCTCAGTGTGCTCCCACTGGCCCTTCCACACCAGCCTGATAGCCCTGTACGCCTCCATTATGGGCCTGAAGGGAGTGTGTGAGGGTGAAGGGCATGCCACATATCCCAGAATGCCTTGCCATACTAGCTTTTTGGAAAGTTAAAGATTTGCTGGCCTGAGGGTGACAGAGGCCAGAGTAGAGGGCCAATCCCAGAGGAGGACAGTCCTGCAGATGCCTCTTACTTCACTTTCTAGTGGTCCCCTGAAACTAGCAATGAAACAAGTCAGACTGAATTTGCCCATCTGCTTACTTTATGAACATGTGCTCCTTTCGGGGGAAGTGACTGATGAGACAGCTCTCAAAGGGGAGGATTCTTTTTCAAGTACAGAAGAAAAAATAAATAAAGAGAATGGCAAAATCATTAATTATATGCATATTACCCTATAGTGAGCCCAGAATATTGTTCAGCTCCTAATTTTCTCTTCTGGAGGGTTTTGAACTATGATCACAACCCCTGCCCACTCCAGGTTCAAACACTCAGGGTTCTCTGCACACAGGTCTGAGAAGGATTGGGCTTCTCCTAGAGGCAAGATTTCAGGTCTAGCAAGTTTGCAAGTGTATTTTCTATTTTATAAATGAGTATCAAAATAATGTTTGTCTTCCCTGTCCATTTGATAGTTTTTTCTTTTTGTTAGTTTTATTTTATATGGGATATGCTATATCTTGCTTTCCCATTTAACATTTAGCTTAAGGTGCATGATAACTCACACCTATAATCCCAGTACGTGGGAGACTGAGGCAGAAGAATTGTCTTGACTTCAAGGACAGCCTAGGCTACCTAGTGAAACAAAACAAACACATTTGCCAGGAGATTTTCCTAGTGTCACTGGAAGGACTTCTTAGGAACCATTTTTAAAAACACACAATAGGGGGGCCAACAAGCTCGCTCAGTGGGTTAAGATGCATTCCATCAAGCCTGACATGGTGGGTAGGGAGAACCAACTCCTACAGTTGTCCTTTGCCCATCATATGCATGCTGTGGTATTTACCGCCCCCCTGCCGTCTGTCTGTCTGTCTGTCTGTCTGTCTGTCTGTCTGTCTAAATTAGTAAGTAGGTAAATAAATAAATGTTAAAACAAAAGAAAATGCAATAATTCCTGTGACCATACTACAGGTTCTCTGGATTTCTTAGAATCATTTTGGGGGTTTGCCCCTTTCCTTCCACGCTGTTTCAGAGAGAAGTAGGCATGGCTGTTTTAGGATGAGATGGGGAAGGGAAAGCTTGACCTGCAGTTTCTTTTAACTGTCCACCTTGGGTAGCCTACTTCTCAGTAAATCAACCCCATGATTCCCCCCTCTCCAGTGACCTATGTGACCTTGCGCTGTTGAAGCCCCTATGGCAGCTCTTTACCCACATGGAGTATGGCCTATTTGAGGACGTGACACAGCCTGGCATCCTCCTACCCCTGCACCGCGCCCTCACCGAGCTCTTCTTTGTCACTGAGAACCGTGCCCAGGTAAGGACACGTCTATCTCTTGCCCTTCAGTCTGGGCGGGAAGGATCATAAGGATCATACCTCTGTATGCTTTTCCCTCTTCCTGCTCATGGCAGGACCAGGGTTACACCTCAGTCCCCAAGCCCAGAGTGTCCAGGATGCACAAGGAGGCAGGCCTGGGCCTCTATTTAGCATTCCCCCAACACATACCCATACACCCAGCCCTGGGAAGAAAAACCTTCAGATCAGCCTAGTTGCTTATTTTGTCAGGACTATAGCCAAAGAGGGTCGGGACTGCCTTGGAGCAGCTCTTGACAACAGAGATTTCTGGAAAATCAAACAGTTAGGTTCCTCTTCCTTGTCTTTCTCTGCCTAGGCACAATAGGCTTATTGAATTGCCATATGAAAGGGCCTTTCACAGACCCTTTGCTTGTCCTCCTCAAGAGACATGAGAAAAGTCGCCATCAGGGCTAGCTCTGGAGCCAGGTTCCTGTTCCTTCCAGTTAGGCTTCTTCATGGATGTAGAGTTTGTGGTGTCATAGGTGCTTGGCAATGAATAGTGCTTACCCACTTGGGGCCCCTGTTTGCTTGGTGGGTGTCCTTTGTTCAGCCCTGCTGCCTTCCGTCAATCAGAGTCCTTGCTCTTTTCACAGGAGCTTGGCCTGCTGCAGGAGTACCTGCTGGCCTTAACCACTGAGGACCACCTTCTCCGATGTGCAGCGCAGGTACCGTCTCCCCTGTCCCCAAAGAGCTGGACTGCAGGTCATCTTCCTGTGATGAATGGAACCTTATCACTTGCCAGGATGGGGGTGGGGAACAACAGGGAAGAGAGAGTTAGTTGCTTGACAAGTCCAGACCCTCCCAGAGTTTACATGGAGCTCGACTGCAATGCAGTCACTTCCTTCTGGCTCTCACACAGAGCAGTGGAGCCCCATTCATCACTGTCAGTCATATTAAACTGTGGGGTCAGAAGACACTAGCAAGAATTTGTGTCTGTGAAACCAAAACAACCAGTGCCTTCACATTAGTTTGGCTGATCCTGGAAGTTTCCATAGAGTTAGATTTCAGATATTTTTGGACGTACTTTGCTTCCCTGGTAGGAAAACTCCTCTTCTAACAGCTGTGTTTCTAAATGATAGAGGCCCAGGAAAGCTGTTCCACAATGTATAGTGTTATAAATTAACTTCAGTGTTGAAATTAAAACATTCAAAATGTATCAATTCAGTTTTTAAGACAGAAAATTTCATGTTAATGTGTTTTGAGAAAACATTTTAAAACAAAATAATTTTTGAGGAGGGTGGCCCTGGTTCCATTTTTGAAAACTTACTTAATGTCTGGCCCAATAGAAAACAACTGGATTCTTGTGTCTGCCCTGCGCTCATTCCTGAAAAGGAACTGTACTGTGCATTCAGGAAATGGTGAAAGTAAAACTTGAATCTGTGACTCCTCCCAAAAGGCCTGGGGTCCTCAGGCCCCAGCCTGCATTTTGAGAACTGGACTTGCCCTCAACACATACTATTGAGTTTGTGGCGTATTTTCCTCTGTGACCCTCCCCACAGCTGACCAGTTCCCTTACTGGTGTTCTGTCTCCTCACCAGGCCCTTCTGGGACAGCTGCTTTCCCAGCACTGTTTCTGGGCTCCCTTGGGTACCTTTCATCTCGTGTGTACTGTGTGCTTCCCTTCCGTACCTTTGTACGGCTTTTCCAGAACTGCCTCAGCAATTGGACTGCTGTCATGGCCAATGGCTTCTTACTGCCTACCTCAGGGCTTTCCTGTGGGTTTTGATTTTGTTTCCTTTCTTACTCTTATCTGTGAGCCTCTGGGTGAGAGGCACCACCTCTGTCTCACCTCCACCCTCCAGCTGAGGGACTTAGGGGTAAGCAGTAAATGGCCTTGATGTTGGTGACTGCTTTTTCCCTCCACAGGCTCTGCAAAACATCGCTGCTATCAGCCTGGCAATCAACTACCCAAACAAGGCCACCCGCCTCTGGAATGTTGAGTGTTAGCCTCACTGTGGCATGCATGGACTCAATAATTTGTCTACAGGGGTTACGGCAGACCTCCAACCTTGCTCAGGAAACCCCTGCAGCCTCTGCACCCAGCTCTCTTTGAGCCTACCCCCTGCTCCCATTTGGATGCCAAGCAGCCGCCTCATCAAGAAGGCCCACTGTGCAGGCTCCATGTGTGCAAGAAGGCACAGCAGTGCTGAGTGGCTCAGAAAGGGCCATCAAGAGGCTTTGGGAAAGTTACTCAGAGAATAGAGACCAGTGTCCTTCAGAGCTGCCCCCGGGGAGTCACAGCACTGAGGACCTAGAAGTAATCTCTGGAAGGATTCTGTCTTCACTGAGCCGGAACTGCCCAGGCTTGCCATCAAGGGAAGGTGCCATCCGTGCAGAGCCACCCTTGCAGTGAGACTTACAGCTTGCAGCAGCAGTGGCCCAGTTGGGAAACCAACCCACAACCAACACGAGCGCCTCCCAGCCACCTCCAATTCCCAAGCTGTCTTCATGCCACAGGTCAGCTGGCTAACTCCCAGTGCCCTTGGGAACAGCCAACGGATCCTGCTTGTCATCCATGCAACAGCTCCCAGCACATATATCTGCGTTTCTTCACTTCTTTTAATATGGTTTTGTTTCCCCTCATGTTTTTAAAAGAGAACCACACTGACTCCCTGAGAGAGCCCCTAGGGAATGCCTAGGAGGAACAAACTGGTGTGTGTTGAAGTGACAGAAATAGAGGGACTCTCCAGCACCTACAGTGCCAACAGTGCCCTCAAAGGAGCCCTTGTTCAGGAGTCAGAACATACCTGATTATACTACTGCTCCAAGGTCATGGTGATCGGCATACCTACCACCTTGGGCCTCTTACCTTGCTATTTGGCCATCACCTGTCTAGCAATAACTACATTAGTTCTAGTGAATGCTTTAGCATTTTTCCATGTATGGCTTTAGCATTGCCCTGAAGTGCTAATGATTTTCTTTCCAGAGCCACAGTGAGTGGGAAGCTAGGTTGGCATCAGGCCAAGGACTTTCAGGAAGAAAAAATCCTGAGGCACCTCCTATTGAAGGGCAGGTGTCTGGGCCAGAGGCATGTCCCACCTCACAGGCCCAATGCAAAAACGGCTCCTCACAGCCAGGACCATCCTTGGCTATCTTGTGTTGCTATGGTACAGTGTGCCCCTTGGCCTCTGAAGACCCCGCTGGGTGTGGACAAGGGACTGGATTGGAAGAGGTTGAGCCTGCAGGTCTGGAAGCATCTTCTGCAAAGGTGCTGTGCCTTCTGGCACCACTACCTGCCTGGCCCTTGAATTAGGTTCTCTGATGGACCCCAGCATACAGGAAAAATGGCTACAGAGTGGTGGGGGATAGGTTGCAAAAACACAGGAACAAATGGAGTGGTGACCTATGATCCGCCCCCTCACATCAAAGGAATCCTAGTCCAGTTCCCATGATGTGGGACAGGGTGCCAGCCCATGGGAACCTCTTTCTCATCTTTTGCTCATTGCCAAAGCACCTGGGCTTTGCAAGCTGCCTAGACCCCAGAGAAGGCCCCTATTGCATGCCACTCCCTCCAAATAGGTCTCTGGTGAGAATCAGAACAAGTCTCAGTGCACAGTGAAGAGGCCTCGTGGTGGCTCAGACCAGATAGCAGTTAGAAGATGGGGGAGGAGATGGCACACTCACAACCCTCCACACCCCAGACTGAGTAGAGGGAGCAGATGGCCAGGGCAGGACAGGGCTGGAGGCCTCCCTCGGGACAGTGGCCCCAGCTCTTCTCCCGCCCTCCCATCAGGAAGAGCAATTGTAAATAAACGCTGAACCCCATAGCTTTTCTCCACTCACCGCTCTCTGTTTTCTCTCCCTCTGCTTCATTTTGCCCTTCACACACCACAGCTGCTCTCTGACAGGGCCCCCCTGACCTGGTCACTGCAGCCCACTGCCTCCACTTCTCTAGGCCACTGGGTGGCACTGCTGAGCCAGGCCCATCTCCTGACCCCAACCTGGGCAGGAGGTCCAAAGGAGTTCCATCAAGGCCAATGTCCTCTTCACCCTTCTTAGGGGACAAGACTGCCTGGACTGAGACAAAGCTGGCAGGAATAAGGGGTCGTGGAAACATGTGCCTAATCTATAAAGAATTCTGTTCCAGATCATATATATTGTACAGACACTGTTCTAATGAGAGGAGTGACTTATTTTCATCATCGTTTTTAATTTGTTTTCTTACGGGTTTACGATTTTGAATTTTTATTATTTGGTTGAGAGAAAGAATTTTGATTATATCAGCTGAATGAGTTCAGCCTGTAAAAAGAATGTTTTAAGTTGTGGATAAGATATGCAAATGAAGAGAAATATATTGTACAAATTCTATATAAAAAAAAAAGTACAACTCTATGTGAATTTCTCCCTTTTCCCTTCCCTTCCCTGCTCCCATCCCCCTGTAGAAAGGTCTTACTGTATCCTCCAAGCTGGCCCTAAACCCACCATCTCCTGCCCATGTCTCTCATGCCTGGCCCTTCAGCTTCTCTTGTGAAATATACTTTGGAGTTTCTGCCTAGCCAAATAGAGAACCTCATGGCCACCTCCTTGTGGGAAGGAGTCCAGCAGGTCCCTCAGGCCACAGCTTCTGAGTGTTGATGGAACTGTGAGCCTAGTCCTCCACTGTAGCCACCCAGGGAATCCAGGAGTTCACGTTAGTCACCCCCTTCTGTACTATATCTCTCAGGTTTGACACACAAATAATGTCCCCAAGTTCACTCTTCTCCTGCCAGATACCCCAACACCACCCTGTCATCTCTGAGCCTCCTGTAGCTTCCAAGCCTTGTTGTTCTGGGACTGCTTCTCCTGCTAGCCTTATCTAAATCATCTGAGACTGTTCTTCCTCGGGTCTAAGTCCCAGTGACCATGCTGTGTCCTTCTCAGATACCTCCCTGGTCTCAGTGCCATCTTGCAAGGTGGAGGAACTTGCCTTCTCAATGGAATCTGGGCCTAGCCCACCTTTGAGGCCCACAGTCTATACATCTCCCCCAAATCTGAGGCTCTAGGGGAGCCTCAGACAGGGCTTGGGCCCAGCCTCAGCTTCTCCAGTAGGAAGCTTGGGTTAGCATGGTGCTCAGGGGAATTGGGTCATCCAGGTCTCTGATTCTCCCTCTGAGGCTAATAATTTATTGCTGTCCTCACCCTAACTTGGTCTGAGAATCATGGGGCTTAATTCTGAAAAGCAAGGCTCCCGGCTTTTCCTGTTGGTGTCACGGACAGCCTTTACTTAGTTGTGAAGCCCTGGAACAGCTGTGTGGAAGTTCCCTGCTGAGAGGCAGGTCATAGCAGCACTAGGTGACTCCAACCTAAGCCTTCTACACAGCGGAAGAGAGAGGTAGAATTCCAGCATTCCTCATGTGTGCATGTCAGTCCCATTGCCCAGCGCCATTGCCTCTTGTCCACACCCTAGGTGCCCCAGCATGCTAGCCTGGTGATTACACTGCATGGAAAATCCAGACTTAGACTAAGCCCACATCTACACATGCCTGAGCACCTTTGTGGACCCTGTTGCTTAGCCCACTGCTACTTCCTACCCATTTCCCTCCTTCCCAGCTCACAGAATCCAGAATCTTTCTCCGTATTCAATCTTTCTTCTTACATTATTTGTGCTGTAGTGCACATGTATAGAGGTCAGAGGACAGTCTGTAGGAACTGGTCCCACCCTATGCGTCCAGGTCGTCAGGCTTGACAGCAAGTGCTTTAGCCTGTTGAGCCATCTCACCTGTCTGTTTGTGGGTGACAACTGTAGATTCTTCAGTCTCAGGAAAACTGTCTTTGTGCTGGCTCGTGGGGAGTTACCCTTGAATGATACCCTCCTTGGGTACCATCCTAGAAATCTCATTTCTGTTGATAGGATGCTTCCTTTCCCTCTCCTCTTGCCATCAGGATGGCTGTGAGCCATTTCCTGCCACAGAGACACTGATGCCTGCTAGGAGGTTCTAGGGCAACAGTTCTCAACCTGTGGGTCATGACCCCTTTGGGGGGGGGTCAAACACCTTTTCATAGGGGTCATAGATCAGATATCCTGTGTATCAGGTAATTACATTCCATTTAATAACAATAGCAAAATTACAGTTCTGAAGTAGCAACGAAAATAATTGTGTGGTTGGGGATTGCACAACATGAGGAACTAACTGTATGAAAGGGTTGAGTTAGGAAGGGTGAGGACCACTGCTGTAGGTGATGGATTCCTGCTCACATTGAGCTTGACAAAGCACTGGGCTTGGAGACCCAACTGCAACCTGCTGCCGTCAGGTGGTGAAAATGAGGTGGCTGGAGAGCCAGTACACAGCTGCAGACGCAGGAATTGGGATCAGATTAGGATTCCTCACCGCAGGATGTGAGCGCCTGTTCAGGATGCCTGGGAGTGTAGGGAAGGTGGGTAAGGGGACTTGTGGTTGGCTGGTCTCTGCTCATTTGCAGATGAAGTTAGGCCACAGTTAGCTCCAGTGAGTTGTAATAAGGCAATAGCCCTCTTGCCATATTAATATCAAAATACATTGTATGAAAAAATTAAATAAGTTTATAAAAAAAAAATCTGTTCCAGGAAGAGCTAAGACTACCTAAAATAAATGACTGGTGCTCAACCTTCCTAATGCTTCAACCCTTTAAAATAGTTCCTCATGTTGTGGTGACCCCCCCTCCCCAAGCATAAAATTATTTTTGTTGCTACTTCATAGCTAATTTTATTAGTTATGAATCATAATATAAATATCTGCTTTCTAGTGGTCTTAGGAGACCACTGAGAAAGGGTCATGTGACCCCCAAAGGGGTCATGACCCGTAGGTTGAAACCACTGCTCTAAACAGTCCTGTTAAACTGATATTTTTCTAAAAATACAAAATGGTTTTACTAAAGTTTTTAAGAATTTAGGGGCCGCTGAGATGGCTCAATAGATGTAGCAGCTTGCAGTCCAGCCTGATGACCTGATGACCTAATGACCTAGAAAGAGAAGAGAATGGAGTCTTAAAAGTTGTCTTCTATTTCCAGGTAGTGATGGCATATGCTCTTAATCCCAGCACTTGGGAGGCAGAGGCAAATGGATCTCTATGAGTTCAAAGCCAGCCTGGTCGACAGAGCAAGTTTCAGGACAGCCAGGGCTACACAGAGAAACCTTATCTAAAAAAAGAAAAAAAATCAGCAGTGTATGGGAAGGAAACATAAACATATAAACATTTCCTGAAATAGAAAGGCCTCTGACAATACAGGCTGATGGCAGCCATCAGTAGCAAATTCTCCTTCTAGGGACTCTTGGGCTATTAGCTTCCCTCACAATAGGGGTTGAGAGCAAATTTGGAGGCACTGTCCCAGAATTCAGTGAGGTGTCTCCAACTTTAAACTCCAAACTATGTTTCTTTGTTTGCACGTGTGTGTGCATGCGTGTGCACAAGAATGCTGCACTGTGCCGGGCGTGGTGGCGCACGCCTTTAATCCCAGCACTTGGGAGGCAGAGGCAGGCGGATCTCTGAGTTCGAGACCAGCCTGGTTTACAAGAGCTAGTTCCAGGACAGGCTCCAAAACCACAGAGAAACCCTGTCTCAAAAAACAAAAAACAAACAAAAAAAAAAGAATGCTGCACTGCATTTGCGAATGTCGGAGGACAGCTTAAGAGAATCTGTTCTACCATTTGGGCCCCAGGGAGTGAACTCAGGTGGGTAGGCTTAGCGACACATGCCTTTCCCGGCCGCACTGTCTTGCTGGCTCCAGACTAAATTTAAAAGATGAATTCACCAGCTCACAACACTGAAAAGCCTGAAAGTTGCATTTCTCTCCCGGCAAAGAAATTCTGTGGCTTGAAGAAGTGAAGTCAGTCTGTCTCTCCTTGCCCTTTCTGCTCCTGCTCTTCCCGGACTCTTACTCAAGAGGAGCCACAGCTCCTCCCTGGGCAGTTCCCTGCTCGCTGTGGAGAGCCACCTCAGTGTTCTTCATAGGAGACTTCCCAGAACGGTCAGCCACCGTTTACATTCGTGTTTAAAAAGCCACTTGGGAGACCTGTGTCCTTATGGGCTGTCATCAGAACTGCTGAGCAGCATCCATGACAACTGGGCTGATGTCATGTCTGGGAGATCCCCACATAGCCACTGTGAGTCCTGTCAACACAGCTGCTCGGCCACTCCATCAGGTGAGACACCCCTAAAATACACCGATAAGACTGCTCCCGCTCACTAGGGCAGGAATCCACAGCGGAAGTGAAGAGAGACAGCGAACTAAAATTCCTTGTACAGCTTAATTTTATTTTAATTTTTAAAATTGACACATTTTTGTACATATTTATGGGGTATAATGTGATGTTTTGTTTTGTTTACAGTACTTACAGGTTTAGCCTAAGGCCTCCCATACAATAATCACCTTACCACTGAGCTTTCTATATTCCTTATTTTAAGATCTAACTAAGTGCTCCAGGATGGAGCTTGCAGTCCTCCTGCCTCAGCCTTCCGAGCAGTAAAGATGCAGCCCTGTTCCTCCAGGTCCTGCCTACCACTTCGTTGTTTTGGGAACATTCAGAATCCACTCTAGGAAGTATGCTCAAGGGTCGAGCATGTCCTTAGCTCAGACTCCTTATCTAGTACCTCCCCCAAAAAATGATCTCTACGAGCTGTCTTTAAGTAATCTGTTGTCAGCCATTGTTATTCTGTACCAGTGACCATTAGAAACTTTTCCTCCTGTGCAGTTTCACCTCTTCAACTTCTCCTTTCTAGACTTTTTTTTAAGTGCTTTGCATGCATGCAGTGCCTGAAGAAGCCAGAAGAGAGCATCAGATCCCCTAGAACTGGAGTTACAGAGCTGTTACCATCACATGGGCACTGGAAACCAAACCCTAGTCTTTCTCAAGAACAGCCAGTGGACCACCTCGTCCAGCTTGATCTCCTTCCTTCATCTCAGCCTCACCTCCTAAGTTCCTGCCACACCCCCGGACAGCCGCATCAGCTGAGGACCAAGCCTGTGGGGGCATTTCATATACCGTTCATAACATCCAGATGTCCTTGGCCACCAAAAGCCCATCTCATGCACAAATTTCTTTGGTACATCTCTAAGACTCCCCAACATCTCAACAGTCCCAAATGTTGCTCAAAAACACAAGTCCAAAACATCTAAAAAGATTTAAGACATACTCGTAGCTGTGAGCCTCCCATAAAACTGAAAAAAAAAAAACCATACTTCAATATCCAATAACAGTTTGAACATTCCCATTCCAGAAGGAAGGGGGAAGGAAAACCAGCAGAACACATCAAACCCTGTACCTCTTGCATCTGGAGCATATGATGGGATGATGTGAGCCCTCCAGGGTTCAGGCAGCCTTGCTGCTCTGACCATGCTGGCTTTCGCACAGGTGGCCTCCCCTGGGCTGGCTCTGCTCACTGCTCGCAGCTTTCCTGAGCAGATGTTCCGTGTCCCTGGCGTCCTTCCTGAGTCCTCTGCTGCAGCTGAGGCGCCACTCTCACAGCCCCACAGAGTTCCTTCCTAGGCTGCTGGCAGGAAGTCTGACCCTGGAACACAGCACTGAGCCTCACAAGCTTTCTTTTGGAATCTGGGTAAAAGTCTCTATGGCCCATAACATTTATATTATGTTTGTAGAGGCCCATAACATGCCTACACAAACCAGTCATGCAGATGACATCAAGTTCTGCCGCCAACTTGAACAATAGTGAGGCCCCTCGACGTGAATGCTGTGGCCTCCGCGGGCCTGAAACTAGTGCTCCCATCCAAACGAAGTTCTTCCTATTATTGTACGTCTTCACACCTTTGACCTTGATGTCTGCCGAACTCTTGAGGTACCCTCAGGGAACTGTGGTCCAGGGTGCAAAGTACTTGTTTTCTTTTTAATCTCTTAAACCTTCTCTTCCTTGGGGGCAACTTTAACCATATGGCTTTTCTGACAACACTCCAAGTTTTTCAGGTTTCTCCACTCTGCTTTTTCTGTTCTTGATTCTTACTGTAAACCTGGCTTAAAGCAACCAGCAACAGCCTTAAGTACCAAGCTGTCATAAAATTTTCCCCATCTTGGTTGGGTGTGGTGGCACACAACTAATTCCAGTACTTGGGAGGCAGAAGCAGGTAGAGCTCTGTGAGTTTGAGGCCAGCCTGCTCTACATAGCGAATTCCAGACAGCTAGAGCTAGAGACAGACAGACAGACAGACAGACAGACAGACAGACAGACAGACCCTGTCTCAGTCTGATTTTAGTCTACCACCTTTGAATTTAACTTCCTACAAAATCTGGGCAAAATGTAAGCAAGTTTTTGCCACAATGCAGCATTATCTTAGTTACTGTACTGTTTCTGAGAAGGGAAACCACGACCAAAGCAACTCTTAAAAAGAGAGCATTCTTGAGCTTTATTATTTGTTTATGGTTTTTCAAGACAGGGTTTCTCTTTTAGTTCTGACTGTCCTTGAACTCAGAGATCTACCTGCCTCTGCCTCTGCGCGCTGGTATTAAAAGTGTGTGCCACCACACCCAGCTAAAAGAAAGCATTTATTGGGGCTTGCTTTCAGTTTTAGAGGGTTAGTCCATGATCATCATGGAGGAAACAAGACAGGCATGGCATTGTAGCTGAGAACTGTAGATCTTGATCTACAGGTAAGAGAGGGAGAGAGAGGTTGGGGCTGGTGACTGTTTTGGAAACCTCAAAGCCCCACCCCTACTCCACCCCTGTGACATACTTCCTCCAATAAGGCCACACCTCCTAATCCTTCCCAAATAATTCAAATGGAGAGCAAGCATTCAAACATAGAGCCTCTGCCTGGTGTGCTATGGTGGCCCACACCTTTAATCCCAGCACTCGGGAGGCAGGGGCAGGCGGATCTCTGTGAGTTCGAGACCAGCCTGGTCAACAGAGCTAATGCCAGGACAGGCTCCAAAGCCACAAAGAAACCCTGTCTCGAAAAACCAAAAAAAAAAAAAAAAAATCAAACATAGAGCCTATGGGGGTCATTTTCATTCACTACAAACATGAATGGCCCCTAATGCTACATGAGTCATGTTCCGGTCTGAATCCTCCCGAACACTCTATTGTTCACGATTCTATCAGCATTCTGGACTTCTGAGCTCCCAATGGGATTGCCCACTAAACTTTGCTTGCAGCATCCTGGGCCTTCTCTAGCACCACATCTCCAAACTTTTCCAGATTCCCTCCATAAGTCTGGTCCAGAGGTTTCTAAACCACGTGATAAGACAATCCTGGCAACTCCACCTCCTTGCAGGTAGGGATCAGACCTCTCAGCACACGACAGGTACTCCAGAGAAAGAGCTCACAAGAGGAAAGACTGGCCTGGGCTCGGTGTCATTTTCCTACCCCTGGTTGGCTGGCTTCTGATTCGGAGCCTCATGGCAGTGGTTGAGTGGTGAAGCAGCTCACCTCACAGTGACCAGGAAGGAGAAAGAGAAAGAGACAGGAAGGGGCCAGGGTGAGGTATAACATTCAAAGGCATGTGCCCAGTGAACTATTGTGATGGTTTGAATAAGATGTCCCCATAAATCTCATGCATTTGAATATTGGTTGCCAGGTGGTGGCTGTTTGGAAAGAATTAGGGGAGTGTAGCCTTGTTAGAGGACGTGTGTCCCTGGGGTAGACTTTAAAGGGTTTCAGAAGCCTCCCACTATCCCCACTGTGCACTTTGCCTCCTGTTTTTGGATCAAGATGTAAGCTCTCAGCTGTTGCTGCCTCCATACCCTTGGTCTCCCATCATGGGCACTAATCCTCTGAAACCATAAGCCCACTTAATTCTTTCTTTTGAAAGTTGCCTTGACCATGATGCAATAGAAAAGTAACTATGACACCTATGTCATACAGGAAGGCTTCATAGTGCCACCAACTAAGCACCAGGCCTTTGGTACATGAGCCATTGGGGGACATTTCATAGTGAAACCATAATGTTCCTCAACCATAATAGAATGAATTTGGAAGCCCACTGCCACCTGTAACTCTGATGACATTTTAAAAATATTGTATTAATTATTTGATGATACCATGCAGTGTATTTTGATCATACTCCCCCTTCAGTCCTCTCCCCAACTCCTCCAAGTCCACCCTACATCCTATCCTACACTTTAACTTTATGTTCTCTCTCTTGTAATAACCCACCCAGTCCAATTTGTGCTTCCCATATATTCCTGGATATGGGGCCACTCACTAGAGTGTGGTCAACTTACCAGGGACCAAACCCTTAAAGAAAACTGACTCTCCATCACTGAGACGCCGTTAACTGTCTAACTGTCCATACGCTTCAGTGAGGGCTGAGGTCTCATGAACCCTTTCCCCCTCCGTACTTGAGCGATGGCTGGCTTGGCCTTGTGCAGGCACCCACAGTTGCTGAGAGTTTCTGAGTGTACTGTCACTGTTAGTGTCACTCTGGCTCTTAAAATCTCTCTGCGTCTTCTCCTACAGTGGCCCCTAAGCCTCGGCTGGGATATGAGACAGATGTCCCACATGCTGGTGAAATTTAAGAAACTCAATACATAGATGTAAAACACTTCTTAAGAAAAATAGAAAACGGGAGAAGGAGAAGGTACTGTGGCTGGATATGGTGGCACCTACCTGTGTGGCCCCAGGAAGACAGCTCATGCTCAGGGGTTTGGAGAGAGTCTGAACAAGACAGACTCCATTCCTTTAAAAAACAAGCATTTTTATAGAATATTTTCAGATAACCAGAGGATAAGGAAAAAAGTTAGGAAGTGTCTTGAGATGGATGAAAACAAGACACAGAATACCAAAACCTACGGGACATCCTAGAGATTGTGCTTAGGAGGAAATCTAAAGTTTCATGTATGTATATTCAAAGATTCCTACCTTAAGACCATGATAAAAGGGAAGCAGATGGAGCCTAAAGGAAGCAGAATACAAAGTAGCATGTAAATTCAGGGACAGAAAGCTGGGCACTGGGCATCAGTGCTTAGGGGCCGAGGTAGTTGGCTCATGAGTTTCAGACCAACATGGGCTACATAGATCCTGAGAGGTAGCGGGTAGAATGGTGGTGAAGAAAGAACAAATAAAGAGGAAAAGGAGAGGGGGGGGGTTAAGGAAGGAGAAAAAGAAAAAGGAAAGAAGAAAATACAAAGAAACATCAAAGAAACTAAATGTTGGTTCTTTGATTCACTTTTCACTTTGTAACGTGGTCTTGTGTAGCCCAAGATGGCCTCCAACTTACTATGTACCTAGGGATGACCTTGGGCTCCTCGATTCCTGTCTGAATTCTAGGATTACAGATGTGTCACCATACCAGGGGTAGTGACCATCAAACTCATGGCTTCAGAGGGTTCAACCCATGGGCCCTGGCTCCATGTTCCTGGTCTTCTGTGAGGTAGGGCATCAATGGGAACAGGCATGTTTGGAAGAGAAGGAAGAACATTAAAAAACAAACAAACTTTGCTGTATTGACCAAGAAAGTAAGAAGACTCAAATTGTCACAATCAGAAATGAATGGGAGGTGGGGGGCATGGCAGTGCATAGCTACAATCCTAACACTTATGTGGCTGAAGCAGGAAGATTTGCCCAGATGTTGGGGGTCAACCTGGACAATATGTGAGATCCATCTCAAAAGAAAAGGCAGAGAGACAAAGAGAGAGAGAATTGACTGATTCTGAAGTATCCTCCACAGGCTCATGTACTGAATGAACTCTTGGCTTCACCAGTGGCACTATTTTAAGAGGTTCTAGAAACTTCCAGAAATAAGGCCTAGCTGAAGAATATAGGTTACTAAGGGGCCTTGGGGCTGGTTTTTGTTTTGTTTTCTATTTTAGGCTTCTCTCCTTCCTTCCTAAGGTAAGCAGCCTTCTCTTCCTTCCACACTTTCCTGTTCCCATGATACTCTGCCTTACAGAAGACTAGAAACATGGACCCAAGACCATGGTTGAAACCTTTGAGGCTATGAACTCAAACAAACCCTTCTCTCTTAAGCTGTTCCTATCAGGTATTTGGGGGACAGTAACAACCAGGTTACTAAGATGGAAGGACAGGTGACTACCATCCTTAAAGAAATCAACCATGAAGAAATACCATGAACAACTGTATGACAACAAATAGAAAACTTCATAAGATGAACAGATTTTTTTAGAAGATATTATCGAAACTGACTGGGGAAGAAATACGAATCTAGGTAATCTACAGCAAGTAAAGAGATTGAAATAGTAAACCAGTCGCTTCCCACCCGATCAGATGACTGCAAAACAGACTAGTAAGAATGAGGTGACAGCAATGCTTCAGACTCTTCCAAAAACAGGAGAGGGGGCACTTCTCACTTACTCTTCTGAGGCCAATGTTAGATTGATACCAACCAGAAGACCCCAGGGAAAGCACTGCAGCCTCCACCTCCATGCATGTGGTTACTAAAATCCTAGCAAACCAGGTCTCGATCACTGAACTCTTCTACACTGAGACTAAGGTCTGAAATTTGCTGCAAGAATTCAAGGTAGGCTCAATATCCACATATCAGACGTCACCTCAACCAACCCTGATCTAACATATGCTATCCACATCATAAGAGCAAAAACTTCAGCCTTTAGTCCCAGCACTCAGGAGGCAGAGGCAGGCGGATCTTGGTGTGTTTGAGGCTAGCCTGGTCTACAGAGTGAGTACCAGGATAGACTCTAAAAGCTATACAGAGAAACCCTGTCTCAAAAAAAAAAAAAAAAAACCTTCCTATTCCCCTCAAAAAAATGCAGACCAAGCTTTTGGTGAGACGCCACACTCATGCTGAAGACAGTGACAAGTACCAGAGGGCAGGTCTCCAACATGATACAGGGATCTAGGAAAACCCACGAACTCCTCACTTACTGGTAGAAAATGGGTGTTTCCTTCCTAGGTCATCAGCAGCCACAGCAGATCTATACCCTACCACTTCTACCAGCATTACACAGGAGAATGCAGCCAGGAGAACTGGGCAAACAACCTAGCCTGTGGCTCCCATTTTGGAAAGGAAAGGATCCATTTACAAACCATGATCTTACATAGGGCAGATGCTAAAGAATCCATAACAACAAAAAACCTAGTAAACCACAAATGAGTTCATCCAACTTGCAGTCTACATGGTTTCTATAAAAATCTCTCAGAAGTAAGAGAGGGGCAGCAGCAGGATTGAGAGGCCCGCTGGCCTACTCACTGTAACTCCATCTCAAGACAGTAGCAACTCCCCCAAAACACTTAGGAGGAAATTACCAAAAGAAGTGTGTTGTGGAATATTTGTGCAACCAGGCAAAGATGTGTTACATTTGTTGATGCTTCATTTGTTCAACTATGTAAAGATACGTTGCATTTGTTTTACCTTGCCTGCCTAGTCTAATAAAAAGCTGAATGGCCAGTAACTAGGCAGTAGAGGGGTAGGCAGGGCTGGCGAGCAGAGGGAATAAGGAGGAATTTCTGTTCTGGAGAGATTGGGGGTGGGGGTGGAGCGGGGAGAGAAAGAGAGGCCGACACCCACCAGACATAGAGGAAGCAGGGAAATAGGACATACAGAATAAAAAAAAAAAAAGGTAAAAGGCAAAACGTAGATGAAGAGAAACAGGCTAAGTTATAAGAGCTAGTGGGACAAGCATAAGATAAGGCCAAATTTCATAGCTACTGAGTCTCCATGTCATTATCTGGGAGCTGGTTGGCAGCCCAGAAAGAAAGCCTGCTACAGATGTGCAAACCTTAGAGTGTGAAAACCAGACAAGACACTCACAGAGACGGAAGATGGGAGAAGCGGATGGAGGGCAGCATGCAATGCCGAGGACTTTGTCAGAATGCTCTGACTGTGCACTCGGATCTACACAGGGGAAATGTGCTCACCCAAGGGCTTCTTGATCTTCTGAATTCACTGTTTACTATCTCAGTTCCTGTGCGGCAGGAATGCCCACGGCTTAGCTGCTTCCTGCAGCTCAAGGTCTCACGTGGGCTACAGGCATCTCCAGATCTGACCAGAGCAAAAGGAGCCACTGGCTGCCATGCACAGTTTGTTTCCTCCTTGGCTGCTGAACTGAGGCCCTCAGGTCCTTCCTGTGCCAGCCAGACTTCTCCCCAAATCCGTTCACAGCCCAGGAGCTCGCCTGGCCCAGCGGGGCCATTCAAGAGAAAGAGTCATGGACTTGGTGGTTGTTTTGTTTTGTTTTGAGACAAGCTCTCACTCAGTATGCAGGCCTGGCTGTCCTGGAACTCACTGTGAAGACCAGGCTAGCCTCAAACTCACTCATGCCCTGCCTCTGCCTCCCGAGTGCTGGGACTAAAGGTGCCTGCCAACACCACTCAGGCAAATACAAGCTTTGTTTTATTTTGTCTTTGCTGCAGTCTCTGTGACCCAGTTTCAGACGGTCATCTCATCACCTGTGTTTTGTTATTGTCTAAACAAGTCAGGCATCCCTCCCCCATCCATCCCCCACTCACGGGGAAGGGATTGTGTTCAGCTTGAATTCTGGGAGAGAAGGGTCATAGGCCACCCTGGAGGCTGCCCTTGATGACATACCTGCTACCCCCCTCCTCACAGCCAGGGTGACAAGATGTACTGATGCGGGCATATGGCTTCATTTGCTCGCTCCACATACACACAGGTAATGGGCCACTCAACCAAATAATAGTTGAATATATAAATATATCTACATTAATGTTGTTATACTTTAATTTTAATTTATTGCTTATTTATTGCTCTCCACGTGCCATGGCACACATGGGGAGATGAGAGGACAACTTCTAGGAGCTGGTTCTTTCCTTCCACTTTAGTGTTCTCAGGGATTGAACCTGGGTCACCCAGTCTTGGCAGCAAGCACCTTTACCCACTGACCCATCTCACTCACTGGTCCTGCAATTATTTTTAAAATTAAATTACATATTTTACAGTGATAGGGAGCATACCCAGGGCCTCACACATAATGGGCAGCACTCTTCCACTGAGCTACACCCCATCCCTACAAATGCTGATTTCTGAGCACACAGTGAAAACCCCTGGTAGGTAAGAAAGTGCGGAGCGCTTTGTAACATGATGTCTGTTTTGAGATCTAATGTCATGGGAATACGAACCCACTCCCACAAAATCACAGTAATCTTTCCATGAGGACGGATCCCTCACCAGCCTCTGGCGCTATGACACTGAGGACCATGAGCAGCTCCTCGTGAGCACCCCCTTCCCAGGAGGGGAGTCACATTCAAACCACGCACGCAGCGTCATGTCAGACAATGGCAGAACACGACACAGTTCATGAAGCGTTTAATGTGGCTCTTTTCCGAGTTCTCTGCATCTCAGCACCATGGACAATTATTCCACGGATAAGGTCACATCAGTAAGCGGAAGGGTGGTGAAGGGCTTGGCCCTTCGCCTAAGGTTCTGATCACCTGGCCGGTGCCATTCCAGAGAGGGGACAGGACACCCTGGCTCATTCCTGCTGCCCAGCTAGTGCCTGGCAAGTCCCATCTACTGTGCTTGACTCTGTCCTGTTTTCCTCCCTTGCCAGTTTGGTAGGTGACTTTTTTTTTTTTTATCTTCGTAGTTTTGTATTGTTTCTCAGCGTGTTTCTTTGATTATTTATGCAAATGAATATTTTTACCTGCTTATGGTTTGGGGTTTTTGGCAGGGAGGAGCGTCAGCTTCTGGCTCTCTCCCATTGGCAGGTTGATTTTAATCTTCTTGATCTGTAAAGGCTCCCTACAGACTATGAAGAACAAGCTATTGTGTGTGTTACAAATCCTCTTCCACGCTGCCCTCTGTCTTCTATTCATGATTTTTTAAACCATTTGTTTCCATAGGAATTTCAGTTATAAAAATAACATTTGCTTGTGGTAAGGGATTCACAGAGCACAGAGAGATAAGAGAACACAAAGGCCTTTCTTCTTACTGCCTTCATATTCTTTCCTCAAAATAGCTGCTTCAAGTCAGGCAAGATGGTACACATCTAGAATCCTAGGCGGAAGCAGGAGGATGGAGAGTTTGAGACCCGTCTAGGCAAGCCACTGACTTTAGGGAGCACATTAGAAATCACAAGACAAGGAGGCTGTATCAAGCAAGCCTGACTCCCATGTTTCTTTCCCATTTGCCCCTCTGTGCAACCAAGAGTTGAAGCAGCAAGAGTCCTTCACCTACCATCGCAGACTCTGGAACTGTGAGCCAATCTGAACCTCTCTTCTTTATAACTTACCAGCCTTAGGTATTCTATTATAGCAACAGGAAGTGAACTAAGGCAATGTGCACCAAACACTTTGAAGTGAAAATTAATAAATAATATCCACATTCTGACCTTGTGTAAGAATAAAAACAGACAGGCGGGCGGTGGTGGCGCAGGCCTTTAATCCCGCACCCAGGAGGCAGAGGCAAGCGGATCTCTGTGAGTTTGAGGCCAGCCTGGTCTACAGAGTGAGTTCCAAGACAGACTTCAAAGCCAAAGCTACATAGAGAAACCCTGGCTTGAAAAACAAACAAACAAAAAAAAAAGAATAAAATAGACTTGTGAGTATAGAGAAAAATCTGAGGAATCAGGTCGTAAAATTTATCATCGGTTGTTCCTAGAAGTGAGTGAGATTTGAACATTTTACCCTTTCCACTTCTCTGTACTTAGAGCTTTTCTACAGTAAATGTGTGGTACTTGTAGCAATAAAAGGGTTTGTTTTTAATGTTCTATTGTGAGAGTTGCCTTTTGCAAGTTTTGTTTTTACATTTGTCACAGGGTTTGGCTTTCTGCACGGCAGGCTGGAATCCATGGCCGTTTCCTGCTGGTTGTTTTTTTCCAGGTTGCCTGAGAGGCTGAGGGTTTGGAACAAACAGGAGCTGCCCACTTCTCACAGGGCAGCCCCCTAGGTCTGAGTCACACACAGCCCTGGACTCCCAGCCTCACACGCCAGCCCTGTGCCCATGAAGCCCCCCCCCCCCCATCTAAGCTGAGCAGAACCTCTGGGCCTATACACGTGAGAGGCCATTTCTGAGATCCTCAGGCCCGCAAGAGCCAAAGGCCACAGTGCACCCACATTCTGTCTTCTCAACAGTCAGCCTGTCTGATGTGGCACGAGTTAAGATGGCCCCGTTCTTGCTCGTCAGGTGTTAGAACATCTCATTGGGTTTCTCTCATTTACCATCAAACAAGACCTAACTGAGAAGTGGAGCCAGGCCCCCTGTGAGGCCCACAGGTCTCCAGTAACCAGTTCTGCTACAGTAACCGTAGTCTGCTCTTCCTGTGGAAGTCACAGCTCCCAGCTGCCTCCTACTGTAGTCCCTACCCAGGCCACCCAGTAAACCAGCCCTGCTGACCCTTCCCTCTTCAACATCGCCCATGCAAGTCTGTCACTGAGGAAACAGCAAGCAGTGGACCTCACGTTTCCTGGAAGGGTTTAGCTTCTGCTTCCAAGCAGTGTTTCCCCTTATGGCATAGGATGCATGTAACCTCTACCTTTTCTACCAGTGTGCTTCAATACCTAAAGAATGCTTTCTCAAGCCCTGTGTCATGGTGCACACCTGTAATCCTAGCACTAGGGATGCTGAGGAAGGAGGCGCCAAGGTCCAAGGCCAGCCTGGCCTACATAGCAAGAAATTGGAAATAATAATAATGACATTTTTAAAAGCCTTTTCAAAGAATTAGAAACCAGACTCCTATCAAATAAATAGATTGTGGATATTTTCTCCCATTCTGAGACTGTCTTTTACTCTCTTGATATTGTCTTTTTTTCCAACATTGACTTTGAACTTCAGCTCCTTCTGCCTCTATCTCCAGAACACTGGGATTAAAAGGCCCATGCCACCACGCTTGGTTTAAGTAGTGCTGGGTATCAGGGCTACATGTACTCTGCCAATCGAGCTACAACCCCAACCCTCAATAAGGCCTTTTGAAAGACGGATTTTTTTTTTATCTTTAGAGAAATCCAGTTTATCTAGTCTTTCATTTAAGGCGTGTGACTTCAGTGTCCTAAGGAACTGTTGTCAAAGCCAAGGTCATGGAGGTGTACTTCCTTAGCTCTGGGAACGGAGACACCAAAGCCAGAGGGGAAATAACTGTGGAGTTGCCAGGGGACTGAGCAGCAAGGGACCATCATAGGCAAGCTGCCTTAGGGGTGTGCCCACTACTGTCAGATCCCCCAAGAACCCAGAGCCTGTAACTGGGATGAGGTAGAGACAGGAAGACCCAAGAGCCTAGGACCCCTCACATGCCCCTGAATGACCCTGAATGACCCCCAGGGTGACAGCGACTGGTTGAATTGTCCCATATCAACCATCTGCACCTCTGAGTTCCTGACAAACTGTCAGAAGGGAACACCAGGATGCCCGTTGCACAGACTATATGCCGTGTTCCCACTACCATCTAAGCCAGGGCAATCTAGGGGCAGGCTCTGCAATGCTTGATGACTGTATCTGACTGTTCGGACATTGAGATTTCTTACTTCTGAGATTCGTGCATTTGTGAGAAACTGGTGCAGCTCTAGATTCACAGGGTGCTTTAAACCCCGACTTCGTTCCCACTGCAGGAGCGGAACTAAGGGCGAAGGCCACACTATTGCTTTGACCTGCGCATGGCCGTGCTGTGTTTGGCGTACAGCCGGTTGGGGCAGGAAACACTTGTTGCTGGGAGGCCCAGACCCTTTGTGTCTGGGCTGCCAGGGCAAGGGCTTCCAAGGGTACCTCTCTGGGAAGAATCAAGTCCATGAGGAAGATTTTTGGACCAACGTGTATGGGTCTCACTCATTCTACAGCCCCTGGATATCTTAGAAGGAAAGCCCATTTTCATGCATTTTTTTCAACTTAGAACCTCAGCAGTCCTTGCTCTCTGCTTCACCCCTTAGCAGCTCAAGTCTCAGGAGCTGTGAGAGCCCAAAGTGTGTGTGCTAGCTTCTGACCCGAGCTTGAGAATCCCATCCACTGGTTGGCTGGGATATGGGCTTTGTACCTCCTTGAGGAAAGCTGAAACTGTGTTCTCAACAGCCACTTGTAGAAAAATCACACACAGAGAGCAAAGTAAACAGGGCCCTGGGGACACGGCTGTCAACAGCAGTAAGGCTTTTGAGGCCAATGTTGGGAAGCCAGTGCTGAGTTCAGTTTAACCTTTGAGAAAGAATCTGCCAACATTGAGCTAGAGGGCTGTGGGACAGCCCAAGGTCAGAAGTCCACCACATTCCCCAAGGTTATCCAGCAAAGTAGAGCCAGAGCCAAGGGCAGCACCCAGGCCTCCCAGCTCTGGGTCCTTTCGTGTCTCGGAAGCATTCTTTCTCTAAAAAAAAAAAAAAAAGTTTATTTTTATTTTATATGTGTATTTTGCCTGTGAATATGTTTGTGCACCACATGCATGCAATGCCTTTGAAGGCCATAAGATGGTGTTGGATCACCTGGATTTATGTGTTTCTATGTGGGTGCTAGGAATTGAATCTGGGTCCTCTGAAAGAGCAGCCAGTGTTCTACCCACTGAGCTATCTCTCCAGGCCCCCTCCCCAGTATTTCTTTTTGAATTATCCTTTTGAGGACAGTCATTATCTTTTAGACTCTGGCCTTGGCTGATGCCCTGAGAAAGAAGCAAGCATCAGTGTCCAGATGAAACTGTGGTCATTCTAGGAACTGCTTTGTGCTATTGAGTTTAAAGCCCCCAGAGACGCCAGGAAGATGTTTGAACCTAGAGAACACTGGCACATCATGAATGATGTGGGAGGAATGAGAGCAAGAGAGGGATGAGCACACGGGAGGACTGAGCACACGGGAGGACTGAGCACACGGGAGGGATGAGCACACGGGAGGACTGAGCACACGGGAGGGATGGGCACATGGGAGGGATGTGTACACAGGAAGGATCAGAACCAGGAAGATTCAGCGAATGAGGCTTATGACATTACCAGTACGGTAGTCAAGGACAGCCTTGTATGAATGGATGGTGGCTCACACGGAGGATAAAAGTGTAGTGAGAATAGAGAGGGGGACCAGGGAGGCACGCTGCACACTGATGATGCTTCTTTGCATGAGGTGTTAGCCACACTCTTTGGAAGTGGCAGGAACCCGAGCCACCCGGGGGCTTGTGGATGACATCTGCTTGCTTTCAGGAAGCTCCTGCTTCCTGCTTCTAAGAATAAGGGTAAACAGTGTTGCTTAAAGGATCTGCAGGCTGCTCGGGACGTAAGTACTCAGGCCCTGCACAGCCCCGCTGCTGTGACACTAAGTTGGGTCTCCTGGCTGTTAAAGCCACCTGTAGCTGTTGATGCTCTTGGGGCCTTGGCTGGGCACTCGGGTACCTCCTCACCTCCTCTCTGGGCTGTCACAGCTGCCCAGAAAGAGTTCAACCCTTTTCTTGACCTGACATCCCCAGCCAGCAGTGGCAGCCACTTATGTTCCTGCAGGTCCACTACTCCTTAAACCTTGGCTGTCTACTGGGGCGCCCTGCCCGTGGTTTCAGAGAACAGCGCCCCCCGTACCAGCTGGAGCAGGAAAGGGCACAGTCCCGTACCTAGAGAGCCTAGTGGCCCATGGTTAAAAGCTGGCAAAGAGAATCTCTCTCTGCGGTGGTCACATGAGTGAGACAGGAAGTGAAGTTGCTGGCAGCCATTGTCCAGCATGAGGGATGAAGCCTGGAGAGAGAGAGAGAGAGAGAGAGAGAGAGAGAGAGAGAGAGAGAGAGAGAGAGAGAGAGAGAGAGAGAGAGA